TAGTGTTGAACCCCAAGCACACCTGAAATACATTCGGGACAGGGGTCAGACGTGTAAGTACGGCGGTGAGTCAGACGAGCGCTTTAGATGCGTGACATAAAAGATTGAATCGGAATTCGAACACTTGTAAAGTGATACTTATTTGCAAGAATCATTTAACTCACCCTTGTTGCGTAAACAGTAATTCCTTATGATTTGTGACTGGTCCGGTTTTAATTCAACCAAAGATATGACTCAAATAAACAAGCATTCTCTTGTGAGCAGAGGTGCTTTGTATAGTATATCAGACCCCGGCCCTGAGATACCGTCTAGGTGAAATGAGAAAAAAAATATCTGTATTCCAGCATGAAAATACAGGTCTCATGCTAAAGTGAAAGTACGATAAATAAATCAAGCATCCAAACCTCTAGATGCAAAGCTTTTCAGCTCCTGATAAAGAAGAGAGAGCGAAGTCGATCTCGATTTGAACGTGTAGCAGTACGTGGTACACACTCAATAATATATCACAGAAAGTGTATGCAATGTATATAATTTGAGTAGATGAGTGCATGCTGCGCACGGTGGCTTAGTGGTTGGCACATTCGCCTCACACCAAAAGGGTCCGGGGTTCGATGTGTCTGCGGAGTTTGCATGTTCTCCACCGTGCTGCGGGGGTTTCCTCCGGGTACTCCGGTTTCCTCCCCCAGTCCAAAGACATGCATGGTAGGTTGATTGGCATGTTTAAATTGTCCGTAGTGTATGGATGGGTGTGTGAGTGTGTATGTGATTGTGCCCTGCGATGGACTGGCACCCTGTCCAGGGTGTACCCCGCCTTGTGCCCGATGCCCCCTGGGATAGGCTCCAGGTTCCCCGTGACCGTGAAGAAGGAATAAGCGGTAGAAGATGGATGGAGTGCATGCTGGTGCTTTATAAACAGTTCTGGTTGACAGTTGTATTTATTGGTGATGGACATGTTTGTTGCCCTGTGATGGACTGGCACCCTGTCCAGGGTGTACCCCGCCTTGTGCCCGATGCCCCCTGGGATAGGCTCCAGGTTCCCTGTGACCCTGTAGGATACGCGGTATAGAAGATGGATGGATGGATGGATGGACATGTCTCTCTCAATGGGCCGGTATCTTATCGTTTGCGATATACCTGTAGAAATTCTCCCCGCAATAAGAATTAGTCTTCCCGCGATAATAACGATAAACCCTAGTCGATGATGTAATTCTGTGTACGACAGTCTGCAACCCATTCGCAGCTCACGTGCAGAGCGAAGACGAGTACCTCGGAAGGTGGACGTGAAGCCGAGGAGGAGTTTATCGCTAAACGATGAGCTACCTCTACAATCTGGAACTGGTTTCAGATCAATAGATCAATGTTGATGTTTCTGAGGCTCTCAAGATCACAGCTATGTTGGGAAAAAAAAAGGGTTTTTTTCAAAAGCGGGAAAAAGACCAGGAAATATCGTGATATAGTTTTAAGTCCGTATCGCCCATCCATAGTGCACAGAGAATGAGAACATGTGATTATTAAATGCTTCCCTAAAAGGGTGATTAACGTTTGAGCTTTAAAGCATGTTTTACCAACTCTGTCCACTTATTTACTCTCATTAGGTTATGTTCTCTGTCTCTCTCTCTCTCTCTCTCTCTCTCTCTATCTCTCTCTATCTCTCCCTCCTTTCCTTTCCTTTCCCTGACCCTGAGATCTATTCATGTCACCGCCAAATTGCAAACAAAGCCTGCTCATTTCTTTTTTATGCTGGCCAATTTCCTATGTGTGGGAGACACTGCATCACAAGGAATCACATTTATATCCTAATCATGGACAGTAGGGGAGTGTGTTTGCCAGCACCGGGTCGGTCGTGCCTTCGTCAGTGGATGTTCGTGGGTGTCCACTTCTCGGTCGGTCGGCAACACTTCCAGTCTTTTTGAATTCGTTAATAAGTTTGGCAACGGCGACGCGTGTGATGTGCTCGCCATGTTTACTGAGTCCATCGCAACCTTGTGACAGCTTTGCGATCCAGCCATGAGAACGAAAGGGCTTTTTAAAATCTATCGGGAAAAATGCATATATAAACTAAGTATGAAATAAGAGTTTGTGTGTGTGTGTGTGTGTGTGTGTGTGTGTGTGATTATTTTTATTTTTTCCTATATTTTCTAGACTCGCAGCTCCCTGGTTCAATCCAGAGCCCAGGTTGCTGTCTGCGTTTTCCCACATCTGCTTGAGCTTCCTCTAATCTCCGAAAAAAATCCCCCAAAGCATTCCTGTAGTTGAATTCACGATACTAAATGTGAATGTGTGTGTAGGATGTCCTATGATGGACTGGATCCAGATTTATCGCCACCGAGACCAGGATAAGGCTCTTACTGAAGATGATACCTTACATACTTATATATATTACCTTATGTACTTATGTACGATACCTTATGTACTTATCATGATGAACAGTTAGTTCTCGAAGTTGTTGTGATGGAAGCAGGAAAAATGGGCAACCGTAAGGATCTTTGACAAGGTGTCAAATCGGGATGGCTGAATGGCAGGTCTTGGCTCTGATAGAAAGGAGTCAGGAAACACAGTTGTAGCTGCAGACCAGTCAGAGCGCCCATGCTGACCCCTGTACACCGCTCAAATAGCCTTCAATGGGCACGTGAGCATCAGAACTTGACCAGGGAGCAACAGAAGAAGGTGGCCTGGCCTGGAATCACGTTTTGTTTTACATCATGTGGACACCCGTGCGTGTGCTTGGTTTACCTGGGGAAGAAGGCGAGCTGGTGGAGGAAGTGTGATGCTATGGGCGATGTTCTGCTGGCAAACCTCGGATTCTGGCATTCACGTGGATGTTACTTTGACACGTACCACCTACATAAACATTGTCACAGACCAAGTTCACTCCTTCATGGTAACGCTATTCCCTAATAGCAGTGGGCTCTTTCATCGGGAGCAACTTGGGGTTCAGTGTCTTGCCCAAGGACACTTCGGCATGTGGAGTCACCCGGGCCGGGAATCGAACCACCAACCCTACGATTAGTGGACAACCCACTCTACCAACTGCGCCACAGCCGCCCACATGACCAAGAGTTCCAGGTGTTGACTCGACCTCCAGATTCCCCAGATCTCAATCCGATCGAGAATCTATCGGATGTGCTGGACAAACAAGTCCGATCTATTGAGGCCTCACCTCAAAGCTTACTGGACTTGTAAAAGATCTGCCGCTAACGACTTTGTGTCAGATACCACAGCACACCTTCAGAGGTCTTGTCGAGTCCAACCAGGCCAGAGCTGCTTTGGATAAGGATGAATAAAAGCATTGTCATTTACACATAGCTGTTGGTATACATAGATGTTCAGTATGTAGAAATGAAACCCTGAAGAAGCGAAGAGCTCAGAAATCTTTATCATGACCCACCGCCTAAAGCCCCGAAGCCTTTCGAATCAAAGACGTGAATCGGTCCAGCGGGTCGTGTTTACTCGCTTCAGAACCGAACAAAGAAGGCTAATGAAGATAGGACGGGCACAGCACGCTTAAACATGCCTTTGAGCTGCTGTCAGACTCTTCATTCAATCTCTTAATTAGATTTTCAGGTTGCCCAGTGTAAAGCTTTTGTCAAATCACGCCACAACAAAAGTCAATGTTTATAATCTAATGACAAGCCTTATTGTCTGTAACTAGGACCGCGGAAGGCAGCGTGAAGAAGCCTGTATTGTGAAATGATATTGCCTCGCCTCAGCTCTGTTGCTGGAAATCAATATAGGCATTTAGGAGAGTTTTACAGCACAGCATCCACACCATCAAGGATCGGGATCATTAACCACCTGCTTACTACGTAGCTTAAGAAACAGAGAAGTGGTGATGTGATGGGCTTTCGTGTGCTTTATTGGTTTCAAGACCCATAATGTTTTAAAACCTGGGTCAGGTACAAGAGATAAAGACATTGTGTGTGTTTCATCTCTTTCCACTGCTATTGTGCCATCCAGACTACCTTATAAAACCCTGATGTTAGCTAGACATGACAGTAAGCAAATGTTTTCTTAATGACAGATGTTCAAATTGGAACATTTTCCCCCCCTGAAAGCCCACTGAAAGTGTTTTGTTTGTATAAGCGCATAACATTATGCATTATAGACATAGAGGCTATATCTCTATCACCATGGAAATAGTCCTTTTTTTTTTTCCTTCTTGAATTTCCATGTACTGGACTGATTCATTCCACATAATTGAGTGTCTATTGAACTCCCATCTATGTTGCCATACTTCCAAGAAAAAGGACCCAGAAAAGGCTAATCATGCAGCTTGGAGCAAATGAATTCTGATCAAATGAAAAACATCAAAAGAAAGAGAAAACTACACTCACTAGGCCGGCGCCTCATTCACAAACCTCAATGCTGATTTAGGAGAAGCGCGTTCAAATTGTCACGTTAATCTTTATCCGTAATATTTCGACTTGTACCACGGATTAGCGAACGGGCGTACAGCAGAGTGAGACCTTGCATTCGGTGTCGTGGTCTCCCAGACACGGCAGTCGCTATGGTATCATCATGCTCCGCTGATAAAGTGCGAGAGCGTTGGCTGGCCATTGGACCGTAAAGTGTTAGCCTCCGAGTTGTAGAGTCTCCGCTCCTGGATAATTGATTGCAAACGAGCCACCTCTCTAATGAGTCTGTGTTCGATTAAAAACATCCCAAAACGCAGACATTCAGACCGATAGCGCTGAATGTCGATTTCCTTATCCAAAAGTTCTTCGTGAGGTCAATTAAACAAATCATTAACGAAATAATTCACACGTGATTTTATCTTATATGCTCTGAAATCGGCATTAGACAAAACATTAACGCTACAATTATAATGAGAATGAGTCTTTATTGATCGCATTTACATTGCAGCAGAGGGAAATAATTTTCTTTCGTATACCCCTCAGCATGCCAGGAAGTTGGGGTCAGAGTGCAGAGTCAGACATGATACAGCGCCCCCTGGAGCAGAGAGGGTTGAGGCCTTGCTCAAGGGCCGAACAGTGGCAGTTTGGCAGTGCTGGGGCTTGACCCCCGACCTTCTGATCAGGAGCCCAAAGCCTTAACCGTCAAACCACCACTGCCCCCTTGTGACACATATGCAGATCATATCGACACATAAAAATGTTACATTTTAATACATTTATTTTGAACCTCTGCATTATCAATATATTGTAGATCAAGATTTGTAATTTTAATGAATTTGATTCAAAATAGCGCCGTCACAAATTCAAATAAAGTGTGGCCTAGAGTGTACCAGACATACCAATGTAATTGTAGAGATGAGATAAATGGTAGTATTTTGGATATTTGCTCATCCATCCTAAATTATAGTAGTTTCTGGTTACACCATGGAAAGCAACAACGTGCTTCCGAACCATTTTTAGACGCAAGCGTGTCCGACATCATGCACACCACAGAGGAGTCAAGCCAGCCGCGATAGAAAGCCGAGTGATGCATACTGTATACGGCTGTTTACGCGAATTCCCTTCGGATAGCAATGCTACAGAGCTGCTGTGAATTCCGGACAGTGTGGAAACGTCGAGTAGTCGTGCACTACGGGCCGTTCCCGTATCAACGAAGTTCACGCAGGCTAAATGAAACGAGGCCGCGGGTTTCGTACTAAAGTGCTTCCTTCTGATTAGCATAACCTTTGGACTACTAAGTAAACATGCTTTGAGGCAGAAAGGTTCCCACTTGAAGACTTAGTGCTCTGTATGCTACTTCCTCTGGTGAAGCCGCCAGTGGTCTCGCCAGTGTTTTGTATCGCAGTGTTTGATCGAGATATTCTGTCTCGCTCCTACTCTAAAATGACATGGTTGAGCCAGAGAAAGCTGACCGATTTAGACCTCAAGGAAACACAGGAAAAGGTATTAATAATATTTTCAAGGTTGTGATGCTTGTCAGGAAAATCTCCTCACGTTGAAGGGATTTCTAACAGCTTTAGCGTACTGGGTTAAACTGTACCTGTCTATGAGCCTGTCGTTTTCCATTCGCTGAAGGTGTGAAGTTTCTTCTCTTTCGTCTGGGCACTCGGCACTCAGGACACATCGTGCATACGAGTTGAATCAGCATCCACGATTTCATTCACCCGTAGGCAAAACACAACTCGAATGAGTGGAGCTGAAAGGGTTTCATAGTTATTTGGTCTGTGAGCTCATGCTACTTTGGCATCTTTTGTTTCGTAATGAATTTCTACACTATTCCGTGTATTTCAAGCACATATTAAAAATCAGATTGAGCCATGAATCGACCCTAAAAACTCAACACTCCTGCTCATTAATAGCATGCAGCTGATTATTAACGCATGGTTAACGCTGCACTCCAGATATACACTACCGGTCAAAAGCTTAGACATTCATTCCTTATTTTTATTTTTTTTTTCCTGCACACTTTATTATAGTAAAGTCATCAAAACTCTGGAGTAACACAAATGGAACTATGGGAATTCTGTTTAAAAAAAAATCCCAAATAATTTCATATTTTAGCATCTTCAGAAATGGCAAATTCTCGGCATTTTCTCACCTGATTTCTTGAGGAATTTCCCTGAGATGCTTTTTATACAGGAGTTCACACCTACGCCGGACTCTTATCGGCTGCTTTTCGGAAATATTTCTATCCCAGTCGTTCATTTAAAACAAATACTTTTTTTGTAAATAAAATGCTAGTTTTAGTCCAATGAAAGAAACGAATACGTCGGGACGATTATTTTTTTTTTCTACGATGCCGATTTCACACATTTAGTCGCACACCTTTAGATCAAAAGGATTTTAAGATCGTGGGAAACATGTCATATCACAGCAAACCAGCAACTCCATTTCCCAGGAAGCACTACGGACTACAATCATGGCCGAAGAGGACTACACTTCCCACACATGCACACGTTTACCTTCTCCGGAGTTCTAATCACACACACCTGTTACTGATTTCACACACACACACACACACACACACTCACTCCACAGCATATAGAGGCATATAATGACTTTGCGAAGTATTACGCTCATTTGCTCACTCGCTGTCATTATTCCAAGCCTCGATTCTCTGCCTTGCCTAGTTTAGCCTGTTCACCTGATCGTTTGACCCTTGCCTGCCTATGTACGCTGATTTCTGCTTGATCCTTTAGACTTGTTATTTTATTAACCTGCCATACCTGCAATTGCTTCCGTCTCAGCCTACATTATGTGACAGAGCGTCCCCAAACTTTTGACCCATAGTGTGCGTTACATCTAGTCGAGAAACGTTCACAAACTCACACAGGCTTTGCGAATGGCCACATATTTTATTATTAATCTCCAAGCACTTAGTTCTTGACACAATATACAGGCGAACACAACCCATCTCCATCTCGAGGCAGCGTGAAGTCAATTCATTCACGAGCCGTCCGAAAGCGTCTCGGTGCATTATTTCAGGAAAGCCGCCGTCCTTTATAGACGAGCCGATTCATTTCTAATTTCTTTCATAGCTGTTCGAAACAAGAAAATCTGACAGATGCTGTTATCATAGCTTTAGAAACACACTGACAACCCTGTTACATAAGAGCTGCTTAAAAAAGAATTTGTAAGTCACCCATGTTCTCATCATTTATTTATTTATTTATTTATTTATTTATTTTTCTTTCTTTCTTTTTTTTTTTTTTTTTTAACTTGGCTTTCAGCAGTAAACCGGCGTCGACATTATCCTTCCAGATTTTACTGTAGGTCATTCAGGACGGATTTTCTTTACCCAGCACAACACGCCTCACAATACAGCCTTCTGTTTGAAACCAGATTGAATTCAGGGGTTTGTTATTTTTTTTTCTTTCTTTCTTTCTTTTTGGTGAGAGTTAGAAAGCATCACTGGATGACATAATTAGACGGCAGTGTTGGAAAAGGCACTGAAGAGCTCTGCTTGTAAATCTTTAGAGAAAAGAACTACAGAGAACTTGCACATCGTTAACTCTCGTTCCCTGAGTGTGTGTACTGTATGTGTGTGTACCGCATTTCTAACCAGGCTTGTTTTCTTTCCATCCAGAAGTGTTTCTCATTGTTTTTGGGGTTTTTTTTTTTTTGCAGAGGGTGGAGCTTTCAAAGAAAAACCCCCAAAAACAGAGGCGTGTCTGAGTCATGTGCGATTCCATCCTCAGACTTAAAGCCCATTTTTCTGTCGTATCATCATATTAGCCTTTTTTTATTTTATTTAAGAAAGAATAAAAAGACACGTTATATGCATATTCAGTCTGTTTTTTGTTTTTTTTTCAATCTCGGATCTCTTGAGTGAATGCAAGTTTGTGTTTAAAGGTGTTGGTATTGAAAACCCTGATGTAAAGAAAATGTCCGCGAAATGAAAAAGTACGAACGTAAACGTAAGACGCGAACGAAGGCGGGTGGGGCATCGTGTAAAACGCAGGGTTAAAAACACGCGAACGTTGCGATTATTATTTGCAAACGTGATCCTCGCAGCAGAGTGTCACTCTGATTTTTCTTTCTTTATTTATTTATGTTTTGCAGATCGAGTTGTTACAGTATGGCGCACGAGGACAGCCAGTGTGTTTTAATGTGAGCGTTACAGACAGCGCGTGTGACTCACTGCCTTTTATAATGCAGCCCCATTCACACCGGCTGCTGGAGGATCGAGGACTCCACTGAGCCTCATGCCTTAACAATAACAGCGGAAGACAGCTGGTGTGTGCTTACAATATGGTAATGCTGTTTAGCAGATCATGAAATTGCTTCTGCTTTAATGCTCCAATCAACAATCGCTGCAGTTACCAGGGCCATTTTAGTGCTGCTGTAACAAGTGTTTTGCCTGACAAATACATTACGACCTTTTTATTCTAACGACTCATTGAAGATGCGTCTTCGTGTCTGTGCTTCGCAGTCGCTTGAATTATAAGTTGTACATCCTCACCTGGAGTCTTCAGAGATTAGTCAGACCTCGTTATGGCGTGTTTTGTAGCTAATCCCAGGTGAGTTGTTATTTTATGTCATAAATTTAGATATTATTTAGGCTCTGTGTTGTGAAAAATTTGAGTCAATGAAGTGTTGAAAACGACAGTGAGGTTTATCTGAATTTAAATATGTTTTCTTACACATATAGCGACGGTATCTCCTGTGGCACTGATGGGAAAAGTAGGGGGCGTGGCCAGATATACGCCATATCTCATCATTATGCCATAATACTACCGTTATACATTATTAGTCAATGATTGCGTTTACATACACATCAATATTCTGATATTATGTCATTTGAAAATTTTCGAATTAGCACTGAGTCACGTAAACATCGCGATCTGATTATATTCTGATTCCTCAAATTCTGATTCGCACCCCTGGAATATACCGGTTTTAATCGGAAATTTGCTGCATGCTTATTCGGAAAATATATGCCTCCGTCCGCAAGGAATCAGATGCTTAGCTGTAGGCTAGGTATTTAGGAACGGCAACAGGAATATTCCGATGCCCGTACGCATATAAACGTCATATTCGGAATATGGCTGCAACCCGAATATAGATCTTTAACAGAATTTGATGTGCATGTTGTTGTGGTTTTTTTTTCTTAATTAGCCATTAACAAGGACACAAAACTGAAATCAGGGCTGTGCATAAAATTAATGAGTTCTTAGTTGCAACTAAACGCATTATAAAGCTTTATTTGTATCAATCTTCCAGCTGCAGGCACGGCGTTTTCACACAGACGTTTAAAATCGTCCGACTCGACAGCTATCCGTGATTCTACCGCCAATCTTCGAATTTATGTAGCATTTCAAGAAGGAGTCTCGAGATGTTCCACCACGTTAAATTTAACTATAAACTCTTAATTCTTAAATAAATGGAACATTGCGATTGCTAGCTTCGGAGTGTGATGCTGTAGAGGGAGGAGAAATACACATTGGGGTGGTACGGACGAATAAATGGATTTATTTTCAAGATAAAAGTCTCACATAATCTGGATTCACCCCACATGATCATTTCTATTTTTAATTTTTAGCCGCTGAGTTTGTTGTCATGCCTTTTTGCACTTCATCCCTAACCTTCCTGAAAGTTTTATGAATTCATATTTAATAATGTGCCCTTATGCGCTGGTGTGTTTATTCAAGTACTTGT